GATATTCCACACCCTCACTAGACGTTATGCTTGTTTTATATGGCTCGTGTTTGCACTGATCTTTTCTCGAATTCTGCCAAMCACAAYTCGGTTTTCATAACTTAATTTCACAGTTAACGTCCTTTATTTGTCAAATCAAGGAATCAATTATAATATTTCACACCATTTTGTCTGAATCAAATTCCTTTCTTTTCATTATAATTCCCGTTTATTGAACCTGAAGTTAAAGATGTCTTGGTTTGAACGAGGCAACCTAATCCATTTATGGCTTTATACCGAGTGACTTCAAATAGTTCTGAAACTCCTCTCTAGTTTTAAATCTTCGTATAGGTGGTCTGGTAGGAGGCAGTGGTTCTGAATATGAAAAATAAAATTGTTTTGCAATTGGGATTTAAACGTTAAGGCTGTGTGGGGAAGGGATGCTCAGCTTATATGTGATTCTTTTTTCATATTTTAGTGTCTTTTCCTTTTTAATGTTCTCCTTGGTCTTTCTATAAGACGATTTTTCCTATAAAAAAACAGCAGGACTTTATGTTGTTTTTGTTCTATCCCAATCTTTTTTCTAATGGTCGGCTGAGAACCCAAATAAAATGTGATAATTCCATCAGCGTTCTACGRAGTGACGTAATCATCAGCAATAGGTATGGGATCAGGGATCAGTGTTATTTTGGGGATCACATCATATCAGGATCAAAGTCTTAGTGATCTTAGTTATTCAGGATCACAAAGTTATTCAGCGATTGACAAGGATCATCCGAAAACTCAGGTTCATATTTGCATATGATAGAGTATACGAAATATTGCACAGTAAAATTTGCTTGGACGTTTGTTTTACGGTGTTGGACTTATCAGAACTGTTTCTTTAGAAACAACGAAGAAACTTTCAGAATACTTACTTACGCAACCACAGCAAGAGCCTGGGTCCCTTGTCTCATCAGATTTACATGACCTGCGACATTTACGTTTAAGTTTACACGTAGCTCGTCCCTTCTCTTTACACTCGCATTGGTAGCACTCCTTGTCAACTTTGTTCAGCCATTTTTCACCCTTGGAGAAAACTGCTCCAGCTGCGTTCTTACACTCTACATAAATCACATATCATTTAAATCATGATCTAGGTTATGCTTCCATCTGTTCATCAAATTTGGCGTAGCGGGAATTGATTACTTTTGGGGGGAATTGGGGAATTTTTTTCCTCCATAGATTTATCAAATTTGAGAAGACATACGATAGTGTCAAGATATAAGTTATTTCACATCGTATTAATATCAATGGCCTTATTGATATTGTAATATCAATGCTATCAGTATATATTGAGATATACGAATGTGTCAACGGAATGAGATCGTTCAAAACTGTAACATGAGAAGAAGAGCTAATATTGCATGGCGAACGGGTTATCAATGAAGTATGTTTTCGATATATATATCTTTTTAAATGGCTTACAGCTCTCTTGATGAAATTCTTCCTTTAAGATATTTTTAACTATCCCATATATTGTTGGGAGTAGGGTTCCTATAGACCA